CGGTGGGGGGGGCGGCCCCTTCTTCGGGACGCAGAAGCGATCTGGCGACAGGTAAGTCGCCAGGATCGCTTCTGTTGTAAAGCCGACAGTCGGCTCTACAAGTTTAAACAGAGTCCCGGCGGCAAAAGTCGCCGGGAGTCTGTTTAAACAGCCCCGATGCTGGCGACGTACACTGTACGTCGTCAGTCACGAAGGGGTTAAAGTGGACGTTCACCCCTAGAAATACTCACCATTAAACAGCCATAATAATACACATGTACCTTAATAAATACATGGCGCCATGTTTGACTTCTGTCCACGTCCCAGTCATCCAGCAATCGGCATTGGAAACTGCCGGCTATCAGCAGTGACGCAATGCAACTCGTGGCATCTCTCAGCTCCCTTCATTCAATGAAACTCGTGGCATCACTCAGTCCCCTTTGTTCCATGAAACTCGTGGCGTCACTCCACCCCCTTCGTTCCATGCAACTCGTGGCGTCACTCGCCCCCCTTCGTTCCATGCAACTCGTGGTGTCACTCGCCCCCCTTCGTTCCATGCAACTCGTGGTGTCACTCGGCCCCCTTTGTTCCATGCAACTCATGGCGTCACTCGCCCCCCTTTGTTCCATGCAACTCGTGACGTCGCTCGGCCCCCTTTTGCTCCATGCAACTTGTGGCATCACTCAGCCCCCTTTGTTCCATGCAACTTGTAGCATCACTCAGCCCCCCTTGTTCCATGCAACTCGTGGCGTCACTCGGCCCCCTTTGTTCCATGCAACTTGTGGCGTCACTCGCCCCCCTTTGTTCCATGCAACTCGTGACGTCGCTCGGCCCCCTTTTGCTCCATGCAACTTGTGGCATCACTCAGCCCCCTTTGTTCCATGCAACTCGTGACGTCGCTCGGCCCCCTTTTGCTCCATGCAACTTGTGGCATCACTCAGCCCCCTTTGTTCCATGCAACTCGTGACGTCGCTCGGCCCCCTTTTGCTCCATGCAACTTGTGGCATCACTCAGCCCCCTTTGTTCCATGCAACTCGTGACGTCGCTCGGCCCCCTTTTGCTCCATGCAACTTGTGGCATCACTCAGCCCCCTTTGTTCCATGCAACTCGTGACGTCGCTCGGCCCCCTTTTGCTCCATGCAACTTGTGGCATCACTCAGCCCCCTTTGTTCCATGCAACTCGTGACGTCGCTCGGCCCCCTTTTGCTCCATGCAACTTGTGGCATCACTCAGCCCCCTTTGTTCCATGCAACTCGTGACGTCGCTCGGCCCCCTTTTGCTCCATGCAACTTGTGGCATCACTCAGCCCCCTTTGTTCCATGCAACTCGTGACGTCGCTCGGCCCCCTTTTGCTCCATGCAACTTGTGGCATCACTCAGCCCCCTTTGTTCCATGCAACTCGTGACGTCGCTCGGCCCCCTTTTGCTCCATGCAACTTGTGGCATCACTCAGCCCCCTTTGTTCCATGCAACTCGTGACGTCGCTCGGCCCCCTTTTGCTCCATGCAACTTGTGGCATCACTCAGCCCCCTTTGTTCCATGCAACTCGTGACGTCGCTCGGCCCCCTTTTGCTCCATGCAACTTGTGGCATCACTCAGCCCCCTTTGTTCCATGCAACTCGTGACGTCGCTCGGCCCCCTTTTGCTCCATGCAACTTGTGGCATCACTCAGCCCCCTTTGTTCCATGCAACTCGTGACGTCGCTCGGCCCCCTTTTGCTCCATGCAACTTGTGGCATCACTCAGCCCCCTTTGTTCCATGCAACTCGTGACGTCGCTCGGCCCCCTTTTGCTCCATGCAACTTGTGGCATCACTCAGCCCCCTTTGTTCCATGCAACTCGTGACGTCGCTCGGCCCCCTTTTGCTCCATGCAACTTGTGGCATCACTCAGCCCCCTTTGTTCCATGCAACTCGTGACGTCGCTCGGCCCCCTTTTGCTCCATGCAACTTGTGGCATCACTCAGCCCCCTTTGTTCCATGCAACTCGTGACGTCGCTCGGCCCCCTTTTGCTCCATGCAACTTGTGGCATCACTCAGCCCCCTTTGTTCCATGCAACTCGTGGCGTCACTCGGTCCCCTTCGTTCCATGCAACTCGTGGCATCACTCGGCCCACCTTGTTCCATGCAACTCGTGGCATCACTCAGCCCCCCTTGTTCCATGCAACTCGTGGCGTCACTCGGCCCCCTTTGTTTAATGCAACTTGTGGCATCACTCATCCCCTTTGTTCCATGCAACTCATTGCATCTCTCAGCTCCGTTCATTCAATGCAGCTCATGGCATCACTCCACCCCCTTTGTTCCATGCAACTCGTGGCATCACTTGACCCCCTTTGTTCCATGCAACTCATGGCATCACTCCACCCCCTTTGTTCCATGCAACTCTTGGCGTCACTCTGCCCCCTTTGTTCCATGCAACTCATGGCATCACTTGACCCCCTTCGTTCCATGCAACTCATGGCATCACTTGACCCCCTTTGTTCCATGCAACTCATGGCATCACTTGGCCCCCTTTGTTCCATGCAGCTCATGCTATTGCTTGGCTTCCTTCGTTCCGTCTACATCTTTGAGAGAATCTGGGCACATAGGAAGCACATTCCAATCAGGCTTTGCAATCACCTGACATTTGAAGTATTAGGAAGGGCTAAGTGCCACCGTACGTCTGATGAGAACAATTCGCTCATGTCTGTGCAGCTAGAAAAGAACACGTGCCGGGCCATAACCTTCTCTGTAGTCATTGCCGGTTACCGTATATCTTATTTGTTCTATTGAGTCATTTAAAATGTGTCTCCATTTATTTATTTGAGGGCTTGCCTGGCATCGGAAGAGAAATGGCAATGAAATTCATCAGGTCTCTGACTGGAGAGAGTGTACTACAGAGGTAAGGCGGAGTCCTAAATGGAACCAGCATAATATAAATATCAGAGGCCACTTGGGGTACCCATTGACTTTTCATGGCCTTTGTGTTCAGTTTAGAAAAAAAATCTTAGCACCTGTAAGGCAGAGCAAATTTTTCCAACTTTGCTTTGTTTAAGTAATAGGTATAGGGACGTGCCACCCATGAGGCCAACTGAGGTGGCACAGTAGGGGTCAGCGCTGAGACTGCAGTGTCCATATCGGACACTCTGTCCCCAGTACATGTCCAGACCTTTATATGTTCAGTCCCCTGGCTGCACAGAGTAATTAGTTGTTATGGTGCAGGCAGCCACTAATGGCCTGGTATGTCTGGGTGCACTTTCCTAGCAATCACTGATGCTGTGCACCCCATCCGCCTGCATCCGAGCAATCCCTGAGGCTGTGCACCCCATCCGCCTGCACCCGAGCAATCAGTGATGCTGTGCACCCTATCCGCCTGCACCCGAGCAATCAATGATGCTGTGCACCCCATCCGCCTGCACCCGAGCAATCACTGATGCTGTGCACCCCATCCGCCTGCATCCTAGCAATCACTGATGCTGTGCACCCCATCCGCCTGCATCCTAGCAATCAATGATGCTGTGCACCCCATCCACCTGCACCCGAGCCGTCAATGATGCTCTGCAGCCCAGTCGCCTGCATCCTAATAATCAATGATGGGGTGCGCAGCATCATTGATTGCAACTCCATTTTCTCAAATTTGCCTGGGAAGGTTTAATTACCCCTTAAAAATCGTACTTGGCTTCCCCTTTCTATGTAATGTTATAGAGGAGAATGGGGAGCTGTATTTGCCATAGTTAGCCCCGTCTGTACTGTGGTGGTAGATCTTCATTATGAGTTGTAAACTAGATATGAAGGACTGTCTGTCTTAACAAAGGGTTAAAGGAGAATTATGGGGTTAAGTCTTTTCCCCATAGTTCTCCTTAGGGTAACGGGAGGACAAAAACTAGCATCCTCCCGTCACCCTAGGCTCAGTATACCGCGAGCTGCTGCTCACAGTATACTGAGACGCCGCAGCCAGAGCGGATCCCGACATCGATGTCGAGATCCGCCCAGCTGCGTGAGTGACAGCTGGCTCTGCCTATCTAGAGGCAGAGCCAGCTGTACCCGCCCCCTCCCCCGTCTGTTCCGCCAGTCAGCGCTGGAGGATCGGAGGGGGGAATCCAGTCCCTCCCCTGTCACGGCAGAGAGCTGTGACTGGATCGAGAAGTGAGAGAACGCCGGTATGTGTTCGCTCACTTCCCGATCTACTCAGCCGACCTGTGACAGTCTCATTGTCACAGGTCGGCTAGAACTATGAGGTCAGTGAAAAGCACCCCCCTCATAGTTCTCCTTTAATGATCTCAAGGCTTGGCGATACATAGTTTTTCTTTAATGTGCATTAACATACAGTTACCCGAGTCTGTCCCTAATGCCAGCTATTCTAAACAAGATAAGCTGCCTCTAGTGTCCTATGTATAATCCTGCTCCAAAGAAACAACTAGAAAGGCAAGAACACATAACAAGGAACACATAACAAACACATAGGGGGGGCTTCTCAAATTTGTTTGCTAAAGTGGAAATGCAGTCTGTCACTAAATGCTGGACAATGCGGGAGCTTTAGGAATAATTGATTGCATTGGTTGGCCATATACATGACAAAGTTCTTCTTCACAGATTTTATCAGTGGAGGAAGGAGTTTGACGATCCCACAGTTCCCCCTAAATCTGCCAAGAAGACCGCTCACTGTTCCGTCTGCTGTCATCCAGGTATACAGCCCGCATCCTCTGCTCATGGTTTATGGACTGGAACGGAGTTGTTTATGTTCTGTTGTGGGGCTCCTGGATAATAGATTGCTCTTGTCACATCTTCATAGATCCCTAATGGAACACGAGTTTGCTAATTCCCCAATGATCTGCATAGCAGAGTGCAGAGATGAGACGGCTCCATGATTCATCGCATTGGCTGCCTGAACACCTTTATAGGGCTCAAGTACTTTTTCTTTTTGGATTTTAATGAGAGGAGGATTGGGGGTAGGCAACCTTGGCACTCCAGCTGTTGTGGAACTACAAGTCCCACGAGTCAAGACAGCCACAAGCATGACTCCCAGAGGCATTATGCGGTTTGTAGTTTCATCATAGCTGGAGTGCCGAAGTTTCCTACCCCTGGAGCAGAGAATGGTTAAAACCCTTGTTCGTATTTTTTCTTTGACATCTATAACTCTATTAAAGCAAGGCAAAAAGTTTTCTTTAGCTCTTGGCGCTAATGGCTGCCAGCTGGACAATCCACTTGCTGTTGCTCACTCAAAGTTTTCAACAGTTTCTCACAGTTTTTTTACACAGACTTGAAGGGCTGCTCATCCAAGGCTCTGGGGCTTCCACCACGTACATAGAAAACAAAAGGGAACAGAGCGCCACCTCCGTGTGTAAAATCGTTTATTACAATAAATAAAACAAGGGATAAAAGTACTCGCAAACGTTTTCATCAGGCTTTAACAACAAACGAGAGGCCACACTGTCTGTTGACCCAACATGGTATCCCCCCGACTATGTAACACGGTAGTTTCCAGTCAGGAAGAAGGGGGCTTGCCCCTGAAACGCGTGTCCGTAGTATCCGATCACATCACCGTCCACCGACCGCAGTCAGCCAAGATTGATGCGTTTCAGGGGCAAGCCCCCTTCCTCAGAATCCTCATGATTCTGAGGAAGGGGGCTTGCCCCTGAAACGCGTCAATCTTGGTGGACGGTGATGTGACCGGAAACTACCCTGCTAATCGGGAAGCCAGGTGGCAAGTCATTACACGCCGCCTGGCTTCCTTAATGGGACTTTCGGTAATGGTGAGTAACCGAAAAATTTGATACCGAAAAAACGATATCGGTACATCCCTAGTCTTTATCATGCACAAAGAGAAGTATGGATACCGGCACTCCACCTTCAATACAGATGCGTCTGTGTATTGATGAAAATGCAGCATAATCACATCAGGATGGACTATCAGGATCCGCTTCCTCAGGCAGAACATGTGATAAAGAACACGTATATAAATACAGAGCAATACGTGATAACCAGCCAATCCCTGAGCTCACTAGCACCCTGTGACCTCATATTCCCGCCAAAAATGACATAGCGTTGTGCTGAGCCACATATCTCCCTAGTTGGATACCAATCAAGTGAGATATAATGCATTATTACAAGTCCTGAGACCCCGAGCAGTCGCACATCGATGACGTCACTCAGGAAAATACAAGGGTTATTGAACCCTTGCATGTTTTTTCATATACCGTATTTGCCGGCGTATAAGACGCCTCGAGGTATAAGACGACCCCCTACTTTTTGTGTTAAAATATAGGTTTTGGGCTATACTAGTCGTATAAGACGAGTATAGCCCAAAATAATGTTTAAATGCACCCACTAACCTCCATGGCGGTATTCCCGAGTGTTGCTCGATTACGGTATCTATGGCTAGCAAGCAGTAGATTATATGCAAAACGATTTAAAATTTAAAAAAAAACTTTTTCAAAGGGTTAATACTTACCTGTGTCTCCGCCGCGCGCTCCTGTCCGAACATCTGAAAATTCCTTGGGCGGCAGCAAAGGATCTTGGGGCTGGCGCATGCGCAGTTCAGATGTTCGGCCGGGAGACGAGGAAAGACACAAGGTAAGTCTATCGAGCAGCGTGCACCCAGCGTGGGTCATTAGAGAAGGGGAGGACAGAGGAGTCGGCGCTGGATCGGAGACCCGCACCAGTGTTGGAGGGACAGCCGAAAAAGACACTAAAGAAGAAGATCGGATTAAGAAACATCATTTAAGGTAAGTCTCTGCAGCAGTATTGGGAAGGGGGGGGGGAAAGTTTGACTTTAATGTCACTTTAACATTATTGAACTCCAACTGTGCCGCACAGTCTCACCTGCGGTCCACCCCAGCCTAACGCGTTTTACCGTGGACCGGTGTCTTTCACAGTAATGTGTTTTAGGCAAGTGATTTCGCCATAAAAGCCTCCCTTATTTAGACCTCTAAAAACCCTGAGACTGTTGCTGGGTGCTGCCATCCTGGGTGTGCTCTCAGAAGCCCCAGCAGACTCAGGCCTGTCACACTGGATTGCATTCCTCCTCACTAGTCCCCCAGCAGATACATAAAGGCTAATGCAGGGAGGGGTGAAGGAGCTGGACCAGCATAGACAGTGATTAGACACTCCCCTAAGAGGAGAGTGTTATAGGAAAGGAGGGTGCTGTGCTCAGGAATTGATTCTTGCTGGAGCAGTCAAACTTTCTAGCAAGTTCGAAGACGCATTGTACGTGAATACAAACGAATGTATGCAAAGAACAACGCTGCAAGTAAGCGTTACCTGTCAATACCGTCAGCAAAGAATTAGGATTAGAAGAAACGTGCCTTTGTCCTTTTTAAAGGTTCGGCTAAAGAACACCAGCGGAAAGGATGCAGTCTGTGCGCCAGTGATCGATACTGCGAGCCACATGACTATGATTACTGTTGCCCATGTGAGTGGCATAAGGCCGAACAAGAAAAGAAGAACAACCCCCTGGAGTATACCTTTAAGACGTAAGTATATATACTACGAGAGCCGGGTCACCGCCGTCTATTCATTTATACTAATATATCTGTTTATAACCTGCAGGAAGGCAAGAAAACGGGAAGGCTTTCCTTATCATGAGGTAGAGTCACCGATCTGGCAATACCACAGTTATTAATATGGATAGTATCCGGCTTTAAATGTTCTTCTCTAATTGCAGGTTATTCAGGAATTCCTTGTAAACAAAGACAAATTATCCAAGGTGATCCGATGGCTCCGGCCGAGCCTGCCATGTTTCCAGGTAAATTGTTATTTATATAAGATGCCCAACTGAGATTCTTCACTACTGACCCACGACTAGGCATGGGCTTTGTAGTAGGGGATGGTGACAGTAGCTAGGCTTTTGCAGGATTGGGAACTTGGGTTCACTTCCTAATATTTGCATGGCTGTTGTCTCCTAATAATGTCCTCCCACAACCCAAAGTCATACTGGTGGGTTAGTCAGCATTGACCACATTTTTTATTTTAGTTTTCTACCTTTTTAAAACAAATCCCAAGGCAAAAGGCTAAATATACAGTTGATATTCAATGCCCAAAAAAGTTACACACTCTAATATTTCCTTGGACTGCCTTAAAGGAGAACTAATATGAGGTAAGTGATTTTCACTCATCTTCCTAGTTAGAGCCGACGTGTGACAATGAAACTGTGACACATAGGTTTTATAGATCGGGAAGTGAGCAAACGGATACCGTCGCTCGCTCACTTTCCGTTCATCTCCCTGCAGAGAACGGTGACTGTCAGTCTCCGCTCCCCGCAGGTATTCCCCGCCTCCCCTCTCCGACCCTCCAATGCTGAGTGGAGGAACGGACGGTTTGAGGGGGCGGGCACAGCCCGCTATCAATCAGCCAGCTGGGTGGATCTCGACTGTGTTGTCAAGGTCCATCCCAGCTGCGCCGCACTCAGTATATAGCGGGTAATAGCTTGCTATATACTAAGCTTTGGCTCACGGGAGGAGGATGGTATATGTCCTCCCGTGACCCTAAAGAGAACTATAGGATATAAGGTTCACAGCCGGTACGGATCCTAACAATGCTGTCAAGATCCACTCAGCTGGCTGATTGACAGCGGGCCCTGCCTATCTAGAGGCAGAGCCATCTGTTCCCTCCCCTGCCCGTCCCTCCACTCAGCGCTGGAGGAGGGTGGGAATCCCTTTGGGGAGCAGTGACTGACCGTCACCGCTCTCTGCACGGAGATGATCGGGAAGTGAGCGAGCAACGGTATGTGTCACTTCCCGATCAATCGAGCCAACCTGTGACAGTTTCAGTATCACATGGCTGCGCTAACTATGGGGATGAGTGTGTTTCACTCTCCTCATAAATCTCCTTTAAGAATCTGGTTACTATTGGAAACACAGGCATTTTTCCCCATTCATCTTCCAGGACAACAAACGACAGACAGACTCCTCCTCCAATAGGAACAGAAAATGCATTGTATAGATTCTTCAGCATATAAATGTGGTCACTTAGGTCTGTTATGAGCTACAAAGCTCAGACCCAAGTTGGTGCCCCCAGCCCAGACTTTCAGAAGAACTGAAGGAAAGGCATCCATCCTCCTAGCACACTAGCAAAAAAAGAGAGGCATGCTGGGTTGAAGAGCAAGTTATACATTTTTAAAGGAAGTCGTACTGCCAAACTGGACAGCTGTTGTGTTTCCTTCATCTGGAGAAGATTTGCTTGGAACGTTGTAAAAGGAGGAGCTCAACTTTATTCTCCTCTGCATTTCTTCATCCATTGCACTTTCTCTCACCCTCCTTAATGGTGGGGCTCTCGTCTATCTTTGCCCCCTAGTTCCTTCCTCTTTACAGGAGAAAGAGCTATGGACATACCCTTTCCAGTGCCTTGGGAAAGCCAGTACTGAGAGATTACTAACCTATTTGGTGGACTGGCCTGGACAGGTGGGGTTCCCTTCTGGTGGCAGTAAGGAGACATCCTTGCTGAGGTTGCTCCCGGCTAAGTTAACGTGACTGGCATCACCAGACGTCATGTCCAGGTGGGGTAATGTCACTGTATGGGCACTGCAACTTTTGGTTCTTGGGACTTTAAAGCGCAGGGGGGAAAGTGGGTGCAGCCTGCTAGTGCCTTTTCTGACCAAGCCAGCCACTGTATAACCTCTGTAGAGTCTAGACGGGCACTGACTTGGGTCTGACCTTTTTGAAGTTCATTTCTCCACCACAAGTCAAACCTAAGTGAGCACATTCTTATTCTGGAGAGGCTATACAATACAGCTTGCCCTCAGTACTTCAGGCTTTTCTTTAAGAGATAAGCAGGAATTCTACATACTTCTCTCTCATATGCAGAATCTGCTCACAGCTGCATGTAATACCAGCCAAATAAACAGCTCCATAAATTCCTTAATTTCCCTTTCTGCATTCAGCTGCACAGGCTGTGACGGCTTGTTTATCTCTTTAGTCAACCAAGGCTAATGGTTTGGTTTTATTGGTAATTTCCTGGTGAGTCGGTGCGTTGGAACTTCATATAAAGTTATTTATAAGGGTGTATTTGGCTATGTACTGAAGTTTTTATTTTTGTGTTTTGTTTTTTCATATGGCATAGACCTTTCTCTGCAGTTTAGGTCTCCTACCTTTTGGTTTATATTGCTGTTCGTGATATAATCTCATAGTCAACCCTGTGGGAGAGGGTTTTCCAGGCTTTTGTCCCTCTCTAATCTGGTAAACTTTTGCTAATCCTGTTCTGGAAGACAATTTGGGAAATCTAGAGTTAAGCTGCCCATATACCTTACAACTATCACAGGACTTTCGCTGTGCGATGGTTGTAAGGTAATTTAAAATCTCGTACGATCTTCCCATCTTGGACAGGCAAATCGTACTTGCGATCATCGCAAGCCTGCCCCCCTGAGGGGAGGGATTCCAATGACTGTAATGCTGAGGGGGCAGTGTGCGATTGCACACACCGGCCCGTTGGGTATTTGTCTTCCGAGCACGCCACTAACCTGCCGAAAATCTTACGATTTTCGGCAGGTTTTCAAGCGTGCTCGGAAGACAAAAGACGTGCGACCGTACAGTAGAAACGGTCGCACGCCTTCCATACACCTGCCGATTATTGTACGCCCGCGGGATCACCCGCGATTATCGTTCGATAATCGGCAGGTGTATGGGCACCTTTTAGACTTACTGGTAACTCTATGTCCAGCAGTCTTCCAAGACAGCAGGTTTCCATTCCCTGTGTTATGTTCCTTTCCTGTTGTACATGATCTGCTTCAGATCACGTCATTTGGTTCTCTTTCACTACTGACCAGTTCGGTAGAAGGACTACCCTTTGCTTTTAGTAGCTGCTTGCCTGTTCCTGCTGGAGAAGGTGCCCATCTCTCATATGGTGTTCCATGTGCTGTCCTGGAAGAATCCTGCAAATAGAGATGCCATACGTCTAAAGGTGCCCATACACCTTACGAATATCGTACGATAATCGTATGCGATCCACTTTTCGTACGACAATCGTAACGTGTGAATAGAGTGCCCGACCGATAGTACTGTACAATCGTACGACTTTTGACGGTCAAGCATGTTTGAAAACTTTGGTCGATCGTACGATGTTCGCATGGTTGGTGGCGTTTCCGTCCGTCAAAAGTTGTACGATTAACACTACGAAAATAGTTGCAGTCAATTACCGCAAGTCGTGCAGGTGTTTTGTTTTTTTTAGCTACCGCTAATAGAACCTTGCGATAATCGGGGGCAGGATGGGGCCGTCGTACGAAAATAGTACGACGGTTCGATCGTCGGACGAAAAGTTTCGTCCGATAATCGTAATGTGTATGGGCACCTTAACTCTGGATTTTCATTGTCAGCACTTTATACATGAGGAACTTTACTTGATACTTCACGAGTACAAAGTTGATGCAGCAAGTGAGACGTCACGTTTCCTCCGGTGCACAGCGGCATTGTCTCCAGGTGTAGCCCGTCTCTTTCCTCTCATATTCCTGCTGAGCTGTGCAGCCAGGTGCTGAGTGCAGAAAATAAAATGTTCTCTTCTTCATCTCGCCTCCCTGTTTACAGCAAATACTTCCTTTCCTGTTAGAGACATGGGAATTCTTTGTTAATGCTATTAATGATATTCTGAACATCTAATTATAAATATTAATAATCTTTTATATTACCTTGCAACTAATATATTCCTTGGTGCTTTATGATTCTGCATACAGTAAACATAAATTGTTTAACAGCACAGAATGTAACTAGAGGCAGAAGATATGAGAGCTCTGCTCATTACAGCTTCTTCTTACCTAATATGAACTTTTAATAAACTGCTTTAGCTAACAAAATGTGATTTTTCTTTCTTGTCTTCTTGAGGGACACAGGAATCCAGATACTGTCAGGTTATAGTGCCGCCTACAGGAGAATTGGAAAGAAGGGTTGAAGGCCAGTCGCAGGATCACACTGCTCTACTCTGCATGCCTCATTATTTTGCTAGTGTCCTAGGAGGATGGATGTCTTTTCTTGGGCTGGTCTCTACAGAGCAGCATAGACCTTTGGACATAGGGCTTCTCTTGTGGTGCTTTCCAGGCATTACGTACTGGCCCTATGGGGGCTTGATAAATCCCAGTAGTGGGATGGCCAATGCGCCTACAAAATGACAGCTGGCACCCAGCCTATGTGATTTATCTCCAGTTGCTGTCAATGGACTTGGCTCCTATATTGGACAGATTGACTCCTGAATTCCATGTTAATTTGTCCCTGGTTCTGGAGGCATCTACTTGTTGGCGTTTCCACAAACACACAGAAATAGCAAGGCTGCGCCTCCCTTCCATAATCTAGACAAGGAACAGCTGCTGGAGACTGTGTTCCTACTTGTGATCTTGTACTGGTCAAGAAGTTCAGGGAAGCTGAGCTGATTGAGTTGGAGCTGTTTGTAAACATGATGACTGTAATTGCTTGGGCAAACATTATACAGAAATGTTTTGCTTGGCAATGTATATTTGTATGATCTGGTTTCATGATTCAAAAAAGTTTGAGTCTAAAAGTGCTGAACACTTATTTTTTGTTTAACCCTGAACACTTTAAATACTGCCAACATCTGCCTGTAGTTATTGGAGTGGTTGTGTGAGGAGAGCAGGAATATGGAGCTATTGCTGGTGGAAATAAATGCTGATCCATTAGAAATAGACTTTCTGAGAATTGAACATTGGCATTAAGTAAAGACTAAATGAATGTGAGGTGAAATGGTAAATGTGGTTTAAATTCGGGATGCACCGATACCGGTTTTTCAGTATCAAGTACGAGTACTGATAGCTTGCTTTCGCTACTCGACGGTACCGATACCGGTGCTTCCGCTGGCATGGAGCCGGATTCCCAGGCAATCAAGAAGCTGAGAGGCGGGTCATTACTTGCCGCCCGACTTCCTGATCGTATAGGAAGCTGTCTTAATGTTCCCCCTACGGCACTGCCGGTCAGAGGAAATCTTTCTCTGACCAGAAGTTCTGGTATCAGGGAAGGTATCGGAGCATTTGTACTCGCCCAAATACTCAGTATCAGCATCGATACCAATACTTGTATCTGTGCATCCCTAGTTTAAATAATTTTGTTTATTTTAGGGAACTGACCCTAGATTTGCTTCACTTGTATATGCGCACCATGGTGTCCTGTATTATGTTATCATAGTAATTGTTCTGTGATTTTTCTAGAATTTTGCATTGGAGTGGATGGAGTGGCCCAAGCATTATTCCTGTGAGAAGATTCTGGTCCTCCTGACATACTATGACATGCATGAGAGGAAGGCGGGCAGGCAGCATGATGCACAACTTCAGGCGACCCGGTAATGAGCCTGACAGGCCTGCTTGCTTTGAACCTGATGTATGAAGGTTTCAGCACTCAGACCTGTAGATGCTTCCTCACTCTCCTCAGTCTGATCTGTCCCAGAAGTCCGAATATGATTGGTAGCTTTAGAGCAATTATTGGGGACACTCTGATAGTTTAGGTACTTTCTACAACTGTCTAGTCTTAGCTGTAGTAGGGAAAATGTGGACATGGCATCCATTTAATACTGGTCTTGTAGAAGCTGAATTGTGGAGATCATCATCACGTCTGATTTTTGGCACGCATGTGCCCCTTGCTAAAACTGCTTCCTGAGATGTGTGACGACTTGGACATTCCAGGAGGCAGCAAAGGGGGAAGGGAGGTGATTGTGTGGTTGCCATTCCTACGTCATCCATGTCTAGGTAGGCAATCGGGAAGTGGAGAGCCAAACAAAAACACTTTTCCTAAAATGGTCAACGTATCTGCTGGTTTGAACATTTGGAGGAGGGGGGGGTTTGGGGGGTGGTTAAGTAGACGACAGATCCTTCTTTTTAAATGTCGGTGAAGGTTCTCATTCTTCCAGGTCATGGTATATCTGTAAAAAAAATAAGTCAAGGCAACTGCTGTAAGCAAGTCCAGTTGCCTTGACTTATTTTTTTCTTTTACAGATACCGGTACTTCTTTTGAAATGTGTATAAGGGGGCTATCTAACCTCCCAAAGGATTTGTATTTCTCTCCATCCATTTGTGACATTTCTATAGCATTGCCAATAAACACAACCAGCTCTGCTGTAGAAGGTGACTTGGTTTTGCTCTGCTGTAGTTAAGCAAGGCAGCCAGGTCACCTCCCAGTCCGTGACTGGATAGTGAAGGTGCAGCAAACAGAGTGATTAGGTAATCTCTTTGCTCTCTCCTCTTTTCCACTTGTTCCTTTTCAACACTTATGGATGCAGGACACCTGATTTCCTCCTAGTTCCGCCCCTTCCTCTTGCGTTGTGAGTGCTGAAATCAAGTCCCAGTCAGGTCACTATCTGCAAGGAGTTTGCATGTTCTCCTTGTGTTTGTGTGGGGTTTCCTCCGGTTTCCTCCCACACTCCAAAGACATGCTGGAATGTTAACGTGCTCCTGTCTAAATCGGCCCTGTATGCATCTATGCGAGATAGGGACCTTAGATTGTAAGCTCCTCGAGGGTGGGGACTGATGTAAATGTGCAGTATGCAAAGTGTTGTGTAAATTGTCAGCGCTATATAAATACCAATAATAAAAATAAAATGAGCCAAATATGGGTATTTATACTGTACTAGTCTTAGTTTAAATATATGTATCAATATATATGCAGTATTATTATGTCATTATTACATCTGTGCATTTGCTGACATGTTTAACCGCTTCCCGGCTGGCCGTTGTAAAAAAACAAACGGCCGGCCAGGAGCTTCCTGGATGTAACAGCCATATAAATACGGCTTGTTAGGCGCGCCCACTCGCGTGCAGGAAACTACCAAAATGTTAAAACAGGCAGCAATGCCTGAGTACATACAAGAGTTCTGGCGGATCGCTGGTATGAGGTGCCGATCGGAGCGCCCCTCCCGCTCGTCCTGGGCTCCACTGTGCCGTGTGCGAGCCCGGGACCAGCATGGTGGCTCTGTGACGGGATCAGAGGGAGATCGACACACAATCTCCCTCCGGTGTCAGAATGCAGAAGTGATCTATATTACATCACTCTGCATTCTTGTGTCACTCTCCACAAATTTTTATAAAGTCCCCACCCATACATACACGCTTGCAAACATGCGTCGGGTGCGCATACATGCGAAAATGACAATTGCACCCATTATGCCGCACATGTTACATATCGTCACAGTGAGAGCAATAATTCAAGGTCCATCAATCACTGATAACACTAAACTGATGAGCCGTAAAAGCTTTTAAAGTGTCGCCTATGGCCAATTTTGGTTATGGTAGTTTTCTGCGATTTCGCGGGTGCGCGCAGTTTTAAAGCTTGACATGTTTGATGTCTATTTACCCAACGTGACCCCGTCTTTTATATTTTACCAAAAAACTGGGTAATAATAAAATGTTTTATAACAATGTAAAAAAAACTTTTTTTTTTTTGTAAAATTTTCAGTAATTTTTCCTAATTATAGTTAAAAAAAAAAAAAACAGGGGTGATTAAATACCCCCAAAAGAAAGCTCTATGTGTCCCCAAAAAATGGTATAAAATTAATTTCAGTACAGCGTTGCATGACGGAATAAATGTCAGTCAAAGTACCGCAGCGCTGAATACTGAGAAATGGCCGGGACAGGAAGGGGGTGTAAACACCGCGGTCAGCAAGTGGTTAATATCTGGCTGGAGTTTAGCGTTGTGTTTTATTAAACATTGCAGATGGTTTTCATAGTTTAATGATAAATGAATGTTCATAAAATGTTTCTATTTTTATTCTTTTTCCAGAATTGTTAAAACACGAGTCAGAAATGGGGTTCCATGCTTCGAAATTGAATGGGTAAAACCAGGTTTGTATACACACAGGGATATGATGGATGGACCACTGTTGTACAGTATGGAATGCACTTTAGAAAAGTCCTTATAAATGATCACATCCACTTTACCAGAAATCTATACTTGCCGCCTACAGTTTGCCGATCACCGATCCCATTGTGATCTAATGTATGGTATTGCAGGACTAAGCTTCATTTATACAAATGCGCAGGTGATCTTAGGCAGAGGTTCTCAGCTAGTGGTACATGCATCTCAGGAGTAGTGATGTGTGGGAGCTTGGCATGAACCAAGTTCGCCCCAAGCACGTGCAAAACTGTCACTGACACACCCTCCTCCCTGCCCAATCAGTTTCGCAAAGGACATTTTCCTCCGCACAGTTACATGTTGCAAAGGGGTGGGACATCTGATCCATAGAATAAATGAAGCAGGGAGATCCTTGCATTGCAGGTCCTCAGGTGCAGCTTTCTCTTCAGCAAGGAAAACAGTGCGCAGCAGCACAGTAGTGACATCACCAAATCTCATGAGACCAGCAATCGGAGGCCACAGTGCCTTAGGTGATATCACGCTGCAGATATACAGCTATAAGGCTACAGGAGGTACACTGCTATTTTTCAGGAAGAATTCAAGGCAGAGGGTAATTTTTTCAGGTTATTGATTTCATAGGGGACATTTATAAATATTTTCCATTATATAAGTTCAGGTTCACTTTAGATCCCACAGCTTATCATTATGTCTCTTTAATCCTCTGCTCTCATTGGCTGTGGACCTGCCAAGCCTTAACGCTGTGACACACTGTACGCAGAGCAGAGCGATGGTGCGCTGCACTTGCATGCAGTGTGTCATGTAATTTTTTTCTTTGGTACGTCAGCTTGCGAGAGCTGGTATAGCTGAGCGCCAGGATGCAAAGTCTAGCTGGTTGTTACGCACGAGCCGATTGGCTGAAGGTGCTGTCATTCATCTGCCTGCACTCAGCTCACACACTGCATGCGAAGCTCCGTGCCTGACAGCTTTGCTTTGCTCTGCACGGCTTCGTGTGCAGTGTGTCACGGGCTTTAAGGTCTTGTTCAGATTTTGAACTCAGGGATTTTTTAATAAGCAGTCGCTGGTGTCACCTGTTGACTTTGTACAGAGTAGTTCACCAGCTGCTTTGGTGGTGCATCTTACTAGTGTTGTCACAGCTATCAGCATCCTTCATTGTTAGCATTTAACAGAATTATCAGTATAATATGAGCAGATGTAAGAATTTTACTCTTCCAGGCAGCTATGTTTTTCCTGATGATCATCCACCGGATGCTCCATTACTGAGCATTGAGGAAGAATCCCTATTCACGGCAGCCTACCCTCATATTGCAGAGTCATTCCGAAAAGACAAAATGGAGGCTGAGCTGCTGAAACTGAAAAGTAAGTCTGGTAGATGCTTACATGGCACATTATAATGTATACGTCTCATTTCCTAACTGTTCCATAAACGACATCCGAATACCTGTCTCCGCTCCTCGACTGACCTATCTTCCTTCCTAATATTGCCCTGTCATGTATGGCTGCAATAATTCTATTAAGCAGTCCCCATTCATAATGTATAAGGCTCATAGTTCAACCTTTTCTCTTACTGTGAGAACCTATTGTTTGTCAAATCTGTGGTCACTTGACGGATTCTAGACTCTTCTGTCTTCTTAAAGTAGTCTTAAGGTCTGAGCGTTTTTTTAAATCATATTCCATTCTCTGCATTCCGGTAAAAACCGCCCAGAACCTTTTTCTCCCCCAGTACCCTCCCCACACACACACACTTACCTGTCAGCGATGCTCGTTGCCGGTCCCGAAGTAATCCTCCGTTCCCCGTACTTTCTGCTTGCAGGGGGAGGATACTGATGGCAGAGGAGCCATCGGCTCCTTCTGCCATCATAGAGAGAAGGGGCGTGGCCTGCCACAGGGCTATGTGTGTCTATGGATGCACACAACCACAGCGGGCACGGGTGCCTCCATTAGAACGATAGTGGCACCCGTACAGGGGGGGGGGGGAGAATGCTGCGGGGACCCACTTGAAAATGAGGATTGAAAAGATTTTAAAGACACAGCAACAGCCTCAGGCAAATTGTGCATCCCTATAGCAAATATTTTTTTTAAAAGGAGGGTTTTAATATCGCTTTAACTGAAGAGTCGGAGGGTCCTTCTTGGGGTGTCCATGTCACTCCTTTAGCAACGAGGACGCTTCTTTTTGGCTGTTTGCAGCGCTGGGTCACCGGTCATCACTTATGGAAATGTCGCCGGCAGGGTACACAGATTGAGGAGTTAGATGAGGTAGAATCCAGCTTCAGAAGGGCGGGGGGGGGGGTTGCTTTCCCGGGAGATGGACTATAATGACGGACATGAAAAGTGTGCAATTATGTAATGGAATTCTTAACTATAGACAAGATCGTGCATCAGTCTGCTCTAACAACAAAATAAATCCATCTTTATTCTCTACAGTAGGGAGCATTATGCACATTACATATCTACATAAGTAATAAATATGACATTCACATTTCCCCTTGCATTTTGTATTTTCTTAATGTCTCGTTTAGTTCATTGTCTGGAGCCCTCTGAGCCACTCCAGTGCTACTCTTCCTCCGTCTGCTTGTGTTTATTAGATTTCAGCCGCTGAAATATCACTACAGTTAGCAGGAAATTGCCGGGCCGTGATAGGCTATTTGCAGTAAAATATTTGTGAGTTGAATGTCTGAAGGCACTTTCCTTGTGCGCCTGCTATTATTTCCCCTTCAGACTGTGGCTACCTTCATCCCATAAAACTCCTGACACTTTGTAGCTGAGCTAATGGACCTGAAATGAAGCACCTTTGGTTGTCATCCATTTTCTGCATCGCTTTGGAGGCTGGTCAATTATTCTGAGTAACAATTACATGCAGGCTCAGATGCAGCAGAGGTGATTGTGGACAGATATTTGTTTGCGCTAGCAGTCTCCTAATGAAGTAGTATATAATCAGATAACTTGTTTCTATTGACAAGCAGGCCCTTGATTATTCATGAAAGTCTCTATTGAGGGGTTTTTTTTCAACATTTTGTTTTCTAGGTAAGAAAAGCAAGCCAACTTCCAAGGTGCTCCCTAACGTGGATGATGTTGCTTCGCTGTTGTCTGAAATGAGCTTAGTTCCAGCAGCGGAAAAGTCGCCACCCTTACAAGCACCAGTCTTCAGTGTTGACGATGACCCCTTACCCACCATCAGCCTTGGTGTCTCGCATGGCTTACTCTTCTCCTCAGAATCCTCTGGGTCACCTCTGACTGTATTTCCTGAGGAGACGGACTTGAATTGTCCTACAACATCTTTATTCAATGAAGATGACTCAATGACTCCTAATAATCCTTGTTCTTCCCCAGTAATATGCAGTAGGCAAGAACCCCCTGTGTCGTCACCCAATATCTCATCTCTGGTTTCCGACTTACATTTGAGTAACATCGACTGGGAAGCCACCTCATTTAGTACTTCTCCTCAAACAGAATCTCATAAGAGTTGTAAAGAGGCCCGTGGTTCTGAAGATAAGGCAGCTGTTCCTGGGCCCACAATTGCAGCCTTGGCTAATCTGAACCAAGAAACGTTTGCACCAAGTAAGCCCATTCTCCAGAAGACAGCTGATCGGGCACCTGCATTGACTTTAGACTCACCTTGCATGTCGTATCTTGAAAAGTTACCTTTAAGAGAGAGGATACTGTTAAAGAATGCCAGGCAGACTGTAGGCTTGAACCCTGAAAAGCTCAATGTGAACAAGCTGCCTCTGGGACATGTAGACTTCAATCCACAAAACCTCAATGGGAAGAACCTTCCTCTGGGACATGTAGACTTCAATCCACAAAACCTCAATGGGAAGAACTTTCCTCTGGGACATGTAGACTTGAATCCACAAAACCCCAATGGGAAACACCTTCCTCTGGCACCTGTACACTTAAAGCCAAAAAATCTCAATGAGAAAAACCTTCCTCTGGCACCTGTAGACTTCAATCCAAAAAAACTCAATGGGAAGAACCTTCCTCTGGGATATGTAGACTTGAAGCCACAAAATCTCAATGAGAAGAACCTTCCTCTGGCACCTGTAGACTTGAATCCAGAAAACCCCAATGGGAAACACCTTCCTCTGGCACTTGCAGATTTAAAACCCAAAAAACTCAATGGGAAGAACCTTCTTCTGGGACATGTAGACTTGAATCCACAAAATCTCAATGAGAAGAACCTTCCTCTAGCGTATGTATCCAATGTCCTTCAAAAACAGAATCCTACAAAACCCATTTCCGACAAGAGATGCGTAAATGTGAAGGAAAATGTGCCAATCCATTCCAAGTTATTAAAACGGCCAAGTCCTCAAAAAAGGAATTCTCACAATACTCAGATCCCAACATTGTCTGGGACCAGCAGCGGCTCTCAAGTGTTTCAACGCCCCACCACAAAATCATTCAGTTTTGTGAAGAAGTCTATTCTTGCTCCAGTGCACAATCTATCAGACTGTAGCCTAACTAACAATGTTGCTACCAAAGCTGAAACAAAAGCCTCGGTAAAGAAGAGTGTCTGCCAGAAAGCTGTGTTGTCTAGCGAAGATGAGGATGAGCAAGTCAAAGATGGCAAATGTAAACCTGTAGCAAAGAACGGACTAGCTGGCACTAGAAACATGGCGCCTCAGAGCAAAATGGCTTCCGTCACACCGGCGTCCCTCTGTCTGTCTAATGCTGATGGAAGCTCTGATGAAGTCAATGGTTTTCTAAGTCCCAAGTGCAAATCTTCGTCAAAGTCCCAGGAAGATTCGGATGATTGTGATGCCTCGGTCATTTCTGTAGACAGCCCTTTGCCGCTGTCTGAAAGACTAAAACTGAGACTGCTACAGAGCTGTTAATGTTTTTATTGTCGTTCCTTCTCTTCTGTTCCTTATGTGTGTTTTAGATGATTTGATAAATTATGTCCTTCTGATTCATCATGTGTCTCTTATAAAGTATAGAAAAGAAAATGAAGGACTTGGCCATGGGAGGTTGCTTTGTTTTTTTTAACTTGAGTGTACAGATCTAGAGGGTTGCCGAATTTTAAAAATAATTTAATAGAATGAGCAGCTTTTGTATTTTTAAAGGAGAACTATGGGGTTTTAGGGCTTTTCCCCATAGTTCTCCTAAGGGTAACGGGAGGACACAAACTAGCGTCCTCCCATTCACCCAAAGCTCAGTATACCGCGAGCTACAGCTTGTGGTATACTGAGATGCTGCAGCTGAAGCGGATCCTGACAATTATGTCTGGATCCGCCCAGCTGCGTGAGTGACAGCTGCCTCTGCCTATCTAGAGGCAGAGCCAGCTGTACCCTCCCCCATCTGTTCCGCCAGTCAGAGCTGGAGGATCGGACAGGGGAGGGGGGAATCCAGTCACTCCCCTGTCACGGCTCTCTGCAGTGACAGGATCGAGAAGTGAGGGAGCGTGCTGTAATTCCCAGCTGTCAAAATGACGGCCGGGAGTTGCTGTGGTAATCCATTCCAACAGACAGACCTTCTAACACAGTGTTTATAACCACCGTTCAGATGAGAGATGCAGAGTAACATTGTTATGTTTTGTATGAAAGCGGAACTCAAGGCAAAACTTTTATTAACGGGGGGGTAGTCCCGCTGCAAGGGTTAACTGCTTGTTTGTGTGTAGGCAAAAAATAAAAAGTTATACGCACCCGAGCCTCGGAGCCAGCTTGCTCTTAGTCCGGTCCCTGGAGCCTCTCTCCCCTTCTCCTGCAGCGGTCTAAGGTCCTATAAGTCATCACGTTCTATACACAGCGTATAAACGTGAGGACGCTGAGGAACATTTCAATGCTGCAGCGCAGGAAGAGACTGGAGAAGCAGGCAGCTGGCTCAGCAGTTCAGGTGAGTACAACTTTTTTAGCACCTAGACAAATACGAGCACCTAACCCTTGGATTGCGGGGGTAGCCTCACTGCAAGGGCCAAATAAAGTTTTGAAAAAATAAAAAGCCTCCAGGATCTTGTAGCTGTAATGTGCTGATATTATTATTAGTATTCAGGATTTATATAGCGCCAACAGTTTGCGCAGCGCTTTACAATATAAGGAAGACATTACAATCACAATGCAATTCAAGACTAGATGGTAAGGAGGGCAGCATATTGGCACACTATGGCGGACCTACCTACCAAACTGATCACCTCCATCAATGTGATGTCGGCGCTCTCCTTCCTCGACAGTGCTTTTATCTTTGTCTTCTGGGTTCGGAGTCTTTGGCCACTTGATTGGCCGGGTCTAGATGAGGGAAGTCCTGCACATGTGCACGGGGATATCTTTTGTCTCGTCAAGTATCCTGACAAGACTGTGCGCTGGTCTGCCCATGCACTGCTTAGTGCACTGAAAGGAAGAAAAAA